GGGGGGGGGGGAGTATGAGGTATTCTGTCAGTGTGTGAGTGTGATGACTGGATTAAAAGCAGGATTAGATTAATGTGTTGTGCTTAATGACCAACAATAGCTTCAAGTGCTTGCCATGGTTCCTTAGGCTTTTTGAATGTATATTTTCACTTGCTGTTTTACCCACATTAAATTCTGTGTATGGACCGCTGGAGTATATTCACAAGTAGGGGTACGTGCATGTTCATGCTGAAGAGGCGCAGAGGAGCAGACATAGAATTGTCTTCCATCCGATTGTGTTATCCTATGTATATGTTAAGGACCGTGGGCGTGTTGATTGGCTGATTGCATCCAGCGGCATTTCTGATTGGCAGAGGGTGGCGGATCAGGAGGGAGCCGTGACCTCGCCTGCCATCGCTGATTCATGTTATGGGGGCAATGGGTGTACCGGACAGACGAGCGGGGGCACTGCCACCCCCCCACTCCAAACAACGCCCAAGGTTTCACGTCTATGACGCACACGTGAAGGGGATCCAGCTGAAGAGAGTGACCAGGTGCTGCGAGACCACGCCCCCTCATGGAGTCACTGACCTGGACCTCCTCCTCCTCTCTCTCTCTCTCTCGACGTCTAAAAATGCCATGGACGGAAACGATAAAAGAACAACCTGTCCGGAGCGGAGGCTCTGAAGCTGGCGTTCCCATTTTTAAAAAGAACAGAGCGTGATATGGGGGCAGCCACACTGATGACACCCATGCATCTTGGACTGTTCCAATAACAATCCCTGCACACCCCCCCAGCACCATGTGGCGCGGACCAAGGCTGTACTTTGGAGTGGTGCACCAAAAACTTCAGCAGGCACCTTCTCAGCCTCTTTGCTGAATTGTCACCATGGAAACTAATAGGATTATACAAATATATATTTTTTCCATTCCAATATATATATTTGTGCAAATATTAAACTGCCAGCTCTTACATTTGCTGACTTGGAGCTTATTCATATATTAATACAAACCAAGCTTTATTTGTGTTAGTTTAATGTGATCTGTAACTAAAACTAGACCTTTTTGCTGTTAATACTGTTGTTTTTGAAAGTGAAGACCACTGCAGAAGCAGCTGCCAATCTTGCTGTGTGGGTACTATATTTCCACACAAACTAATAATGGGTGTCTTGGAAAAGGTGTTTCCTTAAATGTGTTGTGTGTGTATGTGTGCGTATGTGGTCTGTGGGGCTGGCTGACCAATCAGAGCGCAGTCTGGGTGCCCGTTGCCTTTGGATGCGCTGAGGTAAGCACACGCACATGTTGAGACACTAACCTCACTTGCTGTCCTCGTCGTAACCCGGCAACCAAGGCATCTTTGTGTCCCTCGTGATCAGGCCTGAGAGTCGCCATGCCGCCTGACGCCCAACTAAATGCGAATAAGGTGTGGCTGATTTGTTGTTTTTTTTTTTACATGGATTCTGCCAAAATCTGTTTCCTGTTTAAACTTCAGGCAAGCTATTTATTTTATTACTTGTATGTGCACATTGCCATTTCTTAATGTTACTGAACAAAAGCTCTTTGAAAAAATACTTAGAAAACACTGGGTAATGGGACGACGTCCATTCCTGGCTGCTGTTTTCTGTGGCATTTGATGGGTTTTGGAACCACTGGATGAATTTTACATAATTGTTTAAGATTAAATAATTGTTTTGGCACAGTGACTGGTGTCAAAGTTTCAGGATGAAGAGGACGTGATTTCCAAAGATGAGGAGGGAGAAGAAAAAAATCACAAAAGAACCATTTAGGATTTGAATTCGGAACATTGTCTACTTAGTTGTTTAAATGCTGAATGCTTTATACCATATGGGGCACGCTAATGTGTTTGAGTAATGTAGTCTTAAGTACACAAAATTTTCTCCTTTCTGTTCAATTTGGTCTCTTTTAATTTTATAAAATGTCCACTGTGATGTGAAACATTAGAAATGGAGTGGAAGGACGTCAGTTTGGTGTAATTTTATTATAATTCTTAGCTGTACAGGAAAGTAAAAGAAGTCATCCACCATGTTTCTCCCCTCAAAGTAAAGACTTAAAGTCACAAAGCTGCTTTCCTGTCATTCTTAAAAAGATTTTCCATGTTTACTTTTCTCCGGTACATTTCATAAAGCCTGATGAGGAACGCTCTTTTGACGCCGGCTTCTGTCATTTATTACAGAACTGGTTTGATGTCTTGTCTGTGCCGTGGGTGACCCCGGCATGACTGGTCATGTGACACACATGGTCACGGTGTAACCGCTCCAGTTTGGATTGACCATCAACTCCCCTCACACTCCCTCTGCTGTCCCAGCTATCAAATATATTCCACCTGACTTGGTCATTCGATCCCAATCAATTGAATAATTTTAATGTTGGGGAAGAACAAATCTGTATTCAAGGACAGAGATTTGGTAACAACTGGACCAATTAAATTAATGAATCAAATGATGTTGAAAGGGAAAAGGGTAATGAATCAGCTGATTAATTGACCAATGACTGATCACCTTATGCAGCGGTTTCTCCTATGGTCTGGTGGCTGACTGGGCTGCCTCAGTTTGAGAAGCACGAAGAGGGTCAAGTACTGGGACCAGAATCCAATGTCCAAAATGGACACTGACACTTAAGAGTTGGGCTTCATTAAAACCTATAGAAATCTGCAATTAGTCCAGAAGGGGGGGTGGGGGGGTGGACACCAACTTCCCATGTACAAGGCATGTAATTGAGCAAGTGTGTTCACTATTCGGGAGCTAAACCATCCATCCAACTTAAGTGTAAAACATTAATGCATCTCCATTAGAATATTTAAAAAAACAGCGTTCTGTAGAGTGCAATTGTGACCATATAAAACAGGAACCCGTAGCGTGATGGGGGGGCTCCGCAGGGCGAGTTGGGGTAGGGCTGGAGCAGTTTGACACAGGTGCCTCCTGGAACGAGTCCTGGCAGCCCCTGCTCGCCGGGCCGGGGGCCGCGTGACCCCCCCCGCGACTCCACGGGCTCAGTTCCGCTTCTTCTGTCGCGCCCCGACCACTTCCTGGGGCTCGGCGATACACTGGAAGCCAATCAGCATGCCCACGATGGAGAAACCTCGGGGAAAACCAGGGGGGGGGGGCGGGGAGGCTCTTTGGCATGTGTGGCTTAGATCCCTACACCCGACTCAACTGCCCAGAGAAGTCGAATTTACCACGACAGCCACTGAACAGGTTACAGTAAGGATGCGTCTGCAGATCAGACTCAACGGGATGGTAAATGACGGCATCACAAGAGGAGTCAGAGGAGTAAAGGGAGGAAAGGTGCTACTCACTTGCGACAATGAGAGGCGCCATGATACCGATCGTCAGGGGGGCAGTCTTGTAAATGAAGGCCTCCGACAGGAAGTGGCCGAGGGCCAATAGAAAGGTCCACAGCGTGATGTGATACAGCCTGCAGAGGCAGGAGTGATGAGCAGCCTGGGTAAATACAGCCTCCTTCACCTGCCCAAAAAGCCAACACCCCTGTTGCGCAGAACAGTGCTCTCTGCCTTACGTTCTGTTCTGGATGTCGAAGGCACAAGCGCAGCGGATGATCGACGACAGCAGGGTCCAGATGCCGAAGGTCCGTGCTTGAAGTCCGTTCACTGCGAGAGCATAGCATTGTAGCGGTCAGATCTGCAGTGCTGCTAAAGACTAAGCTAAAGAACACAGAGCTGGACACCCATTCAGTTGCAGCAGCCAGTATAACCTGTAGCCATTGGTGGAGTCGGTAGGAAAGTATCCAATGGCATAACCTTTTATTAGGATCATAATATTAGCACAGCAAGCCACAAAGTTGTCCATATATTTTCAATTTATTTAAGGCATCATGACATATAAAGGGCAAAAATTTGAGAACTTTATTCTGGGGTCTTTCTGTCATGGTTGAGTTTGTAAAGGCAGCTTTCTGAGTCCAAATCCATTACAAACAGCCCTTGCTGGCAAACCTCTAAACAGACTCTTGGCGTAGAGAGTGGCACAGCATCTCAAAAAATCAGCACGCCCCTAATCTGCCTTGTGCCCCCATCAGCGCTGACACTGCCTCTGCAACCCCACCCCCTCCCCACACACCGCCGGCAGAGAGGCCGGCGCATGTCCCGCTAAGCCGCGTCTGGTCTTTATTAGGGGCCGCGGTGTGGTTGAAGTAGGGCGTGCTGGGAAAGCTCCCCCGAGCTGCGGATTGAGGGAGCCACCCAGGGCTCTCCGCTTGCTGGGCCCACAGCAAAGCAAATTTACGGCCCCCAAAAGCAATGGGATGTCAGGCTGGGATGGAGGCATGGTGCTTTCAAACCGGGTGGGCTAATACTGCTTCTCAAACTAATATGCATTGGCTCCAGTGTTCTGGTCTCTTCTTTCCTCACTGTAAAAAGCTGGGCCAACCTTAGGGTTCCTGTGATTAAAGTTCAATCATTTCCCATTTAGCCATAAAGACAGGTTTCCCTGATCTGACCTGGCCCTCGGAAACGATGATGGGTGTGATCTTTATATGTTTAAGCACAGCTCCAAGGTTGTACGTTAGGGTTAGGATTTTCTGACCCAGGGCCAGCTCTCTGTGTGCATAATCTGTGCCTTTTCTGTGCATCTGCCTTCATTCTTCCAAGATGCTCTAAGCCCCTCCTCCAAATGACATCAAGACCAGAACCTTGAGGTGAGATGTTTTTCAGAACGGATTCCTGATCACCGCCACCAATTATATAATCGAAAACCAGCTTCCACTTACCAAACTCTGGGGTCCCAGTGTAGAGCTTCTCAGAGAGGAAGCTGTGATCCCGAAAACTCTGCATGGTATTACCCATGGCAATAACAGACACCATCACCAGCCAACTGCGCAGAACGTTCAGAAACCGGCTCATCCTCCCAGAAGCTCAACCTGGAACTGCAGGGTGTGAGCCAAACACATGGGCCACTGTGAAACGTTGTGTCAATGACATAGAGAATAAGTATTATTAAGAAATACTGGATATTTGCCAAAACAACTCATCAGTCATGAATCATGTATCAAAGGGAAGAATCATTTATGAGGAATAACAATGAGACGATGCTAAATTTAACACTCTAAATGGTTATACCTCTACTATACTGGCAACGCATTCGCATATTATTGCAAAACATCCAGGCTGATTTTTTGCTGATAGCGTTTGCTCTACACACACGGTATAATAAACTGGCACCACTGTGAATGTTGAAACACAGCTACCTGCAATTAAAAGACATTTTAGAGTGCTGGGTACGGCATCGGATACGTTTAACAGCACGTTCATATGCTGTCTGTTCCTTCAGCACGCCAGCATCATTAGTCAGACCACGTCACCAAACCTAGCTCAGCTTGCCAAACAGCAATTTTCTACAAGCTTTAAAACTGCAACGTACCAGATCACAGCTGGCCGACACCGTAACGCAGAAACAAGGTTAATCGGGAGCAAGCTGCCTCTCTCAGGCACTTAGACACAGAGCTGGACGCCACGGCTCAGTGCAGGTATCCTGCTACCTTCTGCTGTTCCCACGCACTGCCGTAGACAGGCACATCTCACGCGCTTTGTTAACTTACCTCCACCACGAAACATAACTGACAGACCAGTACGGTCCCACCCCTTCTATTGTTAATTGGCTACTTGTTACAACCTGTCAGAAAAAAAGGCGAAGGGCTCTGGACTGAGTCGCTATCGCTCAACAATGGAATGTTTGACGGGCGTGAAATGTAGCCAATTATAATGTAAGACAGCGCCAGATCCGAGTCGTTCGGTACTTGCATGGTTTTTGCGCCCGCCTACTTTTGCTCTCTCTGCCAATCACGTAAACGTCGAAGCGACCACAAAACGGCGCGAGAGTGTTGCCATGGGACACGAAGGCAACTTTGTACCTGACGCATGCTCCGGCGGTTTCTAGCGTTCGAAAACGTCATGACCAATCAGACTCCGTGGTGTGCGCATGCCCTGTTTGTAGGTTGCCGGTTAGTTGTAGTTACAGCTGAAGGGAAAACACAAGCTGTAGTATAGACTGAATTAATATGAGTTAACCATCTAGTTGACAATCTGACAAGATATCGGAGCTTCGTTAAAACAGATACTAAACATTTATTTAACATAGGTATGTAAAATATATCTTGTGAACATGTTTCAATTCAAAATTGAAAATTGTGCATTTGCTATAAAAAGTACTGGCTAATTAGCTAGCTAGCTAGCTATTAGATGTCGGTTCTCAGCTTGTCTTTTTAAGTTAAACTATTTAAGTTAGTAGTGATTGAATATTACAACGTGACAGCTCTATAGCAGCGAAGCTGGAGAACAGCTTTATTTATGCAGTTACATGCCTGACAGTCTGTGGTCATAGCTGGTTTTGTATTCTGCTGTCACTTCGCAGTTATTTTTCATTTATCGTTGCCCTTTCTTGAACATTTTGGACGAAACTCTTAAACGTTCGCGGTTTTCAAGCTGAGCATCTCCTGTGATTTAAAATAAGCACGGAACCACTAAATAGCGGATTTCGAGTCCGCAGCATGAAGGATGCTCTCAGATTTGTGCCCATGTAACACGGAGGCTTTCTAGTTAGTTTCAGCCAATCGTAACTAATTTTCCGCATCTCAGCAGTATGCTTCCTTGCAGTACGTGGGACTGCCGGTGCCTGGAGATGAGCGCGGCCATAGCCTCGCGGAGCTGACACAAAGCAGATTTCCTCTGGTGGTTACCCAACCCAACCCCCCAGGCTAGTGGAAATGCCTGAGGTGATCCAGGATAAAGTGGATCCTGAGATCTCCTCTGAAGACGAACACGAGTGAGTGGGTGACCCAAAAGCTGTCGTGCTTTGGCAGAGCTGAGACATCTCGCTGCTTAGGGTTCTGTTGATTCTCGATTTTAGTGAATGTATCCTAATGCCATTTGCCCCTGAAATAATTATAATGCATAGGAGACCAGACCATATCATTAAAGTATCGCGTATACACAAAACATTTTAAAAAATATAAATGATTTATGTTCACCAGAAATTATAAATGCATAATTTTACCGAAACATTCAAGTGCTTGTTACTGTACTGCTTTAACAAACTCTTGTTTATTAGTCTAAATGGGATTGATTAGGGAACATAGCCATTCCCATCTGTCATGGTTTCTTTCTGTTTATTAAGTTCTCTCTGCCATTTATCCAGGCTTACTCTACTGTATTTTCTTCTCGTAAAATTCCACCACTTTATTTTCTCATCCAGTTGTCATGTTTCAAGTTACAGAGAGTCTGTCACGAAATGGCCTACGTCAGGGATATAAATATACAGGATATCATTTTTCCGGCATAGTACTGTGAATTATTCAGAGCTAGAGTCTTAAGTGCTCGACAAAGAATTCTGCCTGGATGAGTTTTTTATCACGGTGCTTTACAAGTCCAAAAGTTGCTCGCCTAATAAAACCATCACCTATGACAGCCATGTAAGAAATCGAGAGCTTCCTGTTATTCCTGGGGCTGGGCTGACAGCACTTCCTGTTCAGGCTCCTTCACTTCCTGTGAGATCACTGAGCATGCCTTATCTGTCCTCTTGTGATTTTTTTTTTTAGACATACATAGAGCCAAAAGGCCTTTCTACATGTAGGTCAAGGTGAATAACTATGGTATGTTATATGAGTGTAACTGTGAAAAAGCACTGTGTTTTTGCTAAGTCAGCACTCATAACTTTTTATATAACTGCTCTACCTTTCCCCGGTGTCTTAGGTCTCAGAATCTCTAATAATAAACGCTGACTGGTTCTGTTAGCATTGGTGGATATTCTGTTTGCTGCTTGTAGGCATCACCTTAGGGCACCTTAACCTGCAGGGCACCTTAACCTGTTGGAAAGGTCCTGATCCTAATATGCCCCCTGAGCTTGCATCAATCATGGACTGGGCGTATTAATTCTGGAGAGAGAGCCAAGGAAAAGCATCATTTTATCCTATTAAGGCTTACTGCTCTTCAGGATGACCCTGCCATTTATTGGCTAGTGTTCTAAGCAACGTGGCTGTGTCCCAAATACACTTACCGCTTTTGTTTTTGTCTTGTTTTTCTTTTCCTCCCATCTAGTCTAAGCCTGGATGGTCTTTGCCAAGCCCTGCATTAGATGTTTCCCATTAATTTCCCTTAAAGGGCAGTAATATGTATCTCAGCGGCATCTTCAAAGGTGCTTGCTTGATGGGGTTGCCGAGCCTGTCAGTGTGAGGCCCACGACGCCAATCGCTCAGAATGCCTCAGAGTGATAATCTGGATCTCGCCATGCAGAACGGAGCCAGGGTTAATTTTTCAGGTTACCTCCGGGTTTAGTTAGTTTATCATCTCCTTAACACTGCCATCAGATATGTACTGCTTGGCTGCATGGTTTCCCATTTGATATATTCACAGCACTGTTCCTATCAGGGTTGGTCAGCCAATAGCATGTCTCTTGACTATGCACAAGTAAGGATCTTGGTAAACTGCATTCCAGCAACATGATCTAAGCTTCTGTGACTGTTTCCCTCATTTTAAAGGAAATTTATTGCTTTTAAGAAATTGAAAAAAGAAGCCGGGGACATTTCTGTTGTACAGCAGACAGTTGCTGCCTTTGAGGTCCTGTGGAGAGTGATTTTTATTTCTTGACCGGCCAGAAGCCCTCATATTGTTGGATTTGAAGTACTCCACGCCTCTGATTCTGCATGGAAATGAGCTTTGAGCCCAGCAGACACCCAGAGGCCTTCAGGATTCCAGACTCTTGTAGCATTTCTGTGCCTTAAATGCCATTTATCTCAGCCTCACTTGGGTTCCCTCCCCAGGGACCACCCTTGCATCGTCTGGAGCGGACTCAGCCGGAAGATTCCGGTGCTGCTGTTCTATGCAGAAACCATCGTTTCCAAAGATGGGAACTTTCGCAGCATTGGAGGTAATGTGCAGCATTGGGAGAGAAAAGCAAAAATGAGCAAGGGGAAAAACTGGTTTAAATTAGTCATCCATCCATCCATTCATCCATCCATCCATGAATCTATGCATCCCCATCCATCTTTATTGGTGGATTAATCAGTCTGTACCAGGAAGAATAGGGTGTAACCTAGGAAATTCTACTTAAGCTGCCCCTGTTTTCTCCCTCCTTTTAATTTCAATAAAAATTTCTAGAACGACATAACCTGGCTTTCAAAATCGTCCGGACGGAGAGCCGGCTGGTGCGCAGCATCCTTACCAGTCACGGATTCCATGAGGTGAGCACGGGTGCAACGTGACATCGTCGTTCATTAGTGAAGCTCCGGAGGTCAGCTAAGCCTGGGGTTACTGCACAGAGGGTGTCCAACAGGGGTCGCTCTAGAGCTGACGTATCCTCAGTTCCATTGGTGGTTAGGGCAGCGCTGGCTGCTGTTGCTTGCTCCCCGCCCAGCCCAGAGGCCAGCGTTTATTAACTCTTATTACAAACATCTGCGGCTGGTAGGTCCGCATGAGGAAAGGAGGAGCACCATGGGTGGGGATAAAGCTGAAGGAGATCCTGTTAGTGCTGCTGGTATATAAATAGCCTCTAGGGTGGGCGGGGG